TAATAAATACCTCTCTAATGAGGGCAGGGGGTGCTCTCTCCCAGGGCCTCCCCTCCCCTCCCGCCCAGCTGCCCCCGGGCCTCCATGGACACCTGGGCATCTGCCCTGGCCTCGGCTAGAGAACACCTATGGGGTGAGGCCCACCTCTGCCTCCCTGGTGTGCAGGGGTTTCGTCCTGAGGCCCATGGTGTAGGACACAGGGTGGCCCTGAGGCCGTGTCCACCCCCAGCAGGCCCAGGGTGACCTTTCATGGGGTCTCTGGGTCCCCCAGTTTGGCCTCCTGTCCTAGCGTGGAGGGAGCTGCCCCCGGGCTGCTGTGTCCCCTCCCCTCGCGCCTGGCGCACACACGCCGAGGAGAAATGCTAATTTTAGACTCCCCTAATGAAGCTGCTCATTTGGAATTCTATTTTAAGTGACCTGACATCAGCAGAGCAGCTCCCAGGCTCTCAGCTCCTCCGGAGCCCGCGGCTGACACCGTGGTGGGACGCTGGCTTTGGGGGACCCCCAGGGACCTGGGAGGCTGGACCCAGGGCTGGAGGCTGCCAGCGGGGCCTGGGGAGCGGGTGCTGGGCTCTGTTGGAGGTAGGGGGTGTGGCGGATGCCGTCAGGATGCCAGCAGGACCGTGATGTGGACCTGGGGACCAAGGGTGGGCGCAAAGGGCTGCCCTGCCTTCGAGACCTGGTCACCAGGGACAAGCGGGAGCTGTGGGTTCCGGCTCCATAGGGGCACCCTGGTTCCCGTGGTCCCGTTCCTGGGCCGGGCGGTCTGGTGCTCTTGTGGGTGGTACTGACTTAATGCCGTCGAGCCACGGTCCCTTTGAAGGTCCCTGCTTTTCAAAAACCTGGTTCACTGCAGAAAAATTAGACCGTAGAGACAAAAAGCACAAAAACGAAAGAGAAAATTATTCCTCCTGCTGCCATCTGAAGCTCCCACCAGCACCCCTAAGGTGTGTGTGCCACGTGGGGCCCAGCCTGGGCTTTGCACTGTGGCCGCAGCCCGTCTGCTGTGCCCACCCCGTGCGTAGCTGGTAGTCAGCGCAGGTCTGCCCATGTGGCCACCTGGCCAGCTCGTCACAAAGGCCACGGGGCAGGGGCTTGGCACCTGCTCCCAGACCTTCAGGACGGGGTCACCAAGAGGTGTAGTGACCATGAAGCACCCTGTGTCTCCCCCATCTTTCCTGGTGGCGTGTGCTGTGGGCTTCAGGGCAGGGTAGAGCCAGCTACCCAGCCCACACCAGGGATCAGCCACCTCCCGCAGCCCTGGTGCGGGTCTGCAGCTGACCCCTGACCAGCTTCTGTCAGAGGGGACACGGGCAGTGTGTCCGGGTGATGCCAGCCCCTCTCCCTGCTGTCCCTTGGATCTGAGCCTGCCTTGTCCCATCTGTAAAATGGGCACGATGGCATCTGTCTCTTAGGGTGGTCAGGATTTGGGAAGAGGTGGCTGGTTCTCTAAGGAATGTGGGAGAAGAAGCGGGTAGTTGACGATCTCTGCTGGCATCGGAGGGACACATTCTAGAGACTCCGTAGGTAGGGCACGGAGGACTTATTTGCAGATAGTTGCACTTCTTGGTCTCCTACTGGAAGAGGGAGACGGGGTGGCCGGAGCGAGAGTGTATGGTGACGTTCGCTGTGTCGGTTACCTGGTGCCGCGTAACAAACCATCCTAAACTTAGTAGCTTAAACAGCAAACCTTCATTATCTCAGTTTCAGTGAATCAAGAATTCGAGAGGCACGGCTGGGTGGTTCCGGCTCAGTCTCCGAGGCTGTGAGGAGGCTGTTGGGTGGGGCCGCGGTCTCATCTGACGGGGTTGCGGGGGGGGTCCCTGACTGCCGGCTGGCGGCCTCAGTTTTGTCCCACATGGGGTTCTTCACGGACTGCCGGAGCATCCGCGGACGCGGCAGCTGACCACCCTCTGCTCGATTAATTTGAGAGAGGAAGTCCCACCTCGGAAGTCACAGACTGTCAACTTGTAGCGTAATCTGTTCATCAGAGGTGAGTCGCTAAGTCTGGCCCGCACTTGGGGGATGCGTCTCTACCTCTTGAAGAGATGAGAGAGAGACTTCGTAGGTGTTCTAAACCGCTGCAGTCGAATACGTTTGAGCTTGCGTGTGAGCGTCCGTGCTGTCGACGGGACCCGGGGTTGGGTCTCGGGCTGGTGCCGCAGTGAGCCGCAGCAGCGCTGGGTCCGGCCCAGGGAGCGGGGTTCAAGTCCCAGACCTGCTGCTCCACCGACTGTGTGACCTCGGACCAGTCTTAGGACATCTCCTGGCCTCGGTTTCCCCGTCCGCACTCTGTAGGCCTCCTGGGGTTGGGGGACAGCTGCGAGGGGTCAGGGAGGGGGGGTGGCAGGTGGCAGCTCTGCCCCAGCAGCCTGTCCTGGGCTCCTCGTTGGGCTGTTCGGAGAGGTGACCCGACCCGTCTGTGTGACCTCCGAGGACTGCTGGGAGTCCCCCGGGGGGCTTTGTGTGCCTGGGGCCCCTGCTCACACCCTCGTCTCCTGGGCAGCCCCTTGTGAGGATAGGGCCTGCCTTGCGGTAGGTTCCTGCGAGGCTGGGGCTCCATCTTATGCCACTGTGTTATTTCTAGACAACCCCCCCATAAAATCCCCATCAGCCTGCTCTGTGGGTGCCAAGTGACGGGTGCTTCGGTGACGGCTGGCACCTGAGGTCTTCTGCGTCGCCCGTGGCAGCTCCGTGCACGGCCCCATCTCTGGGCGACCCCTGCAGGCGGCTCTGGTCTCCACCCGCCCAGGGGGTCCTCTGGGTCATCCTTCGCCAGCCGCCGCCAGCTGCTCAGGGTCGCGGAGCCGGTCAGCAGGAGGGCTCTCGGGCAGGGCGCCCACCCAAAGCAGCCCACGGGCTTCTGATGCCACGTGACTCTCCCCAGGTGGGGTGGGCAAAACAAACCCTGCGGTTGGACGCGGGCTTCTGCCCCCACCAGCTGACGGGACGTCTGTAACCACAGTCGACCCGGGCACGCGCCGGGCAGGTGCCGACGCCCCTCAAGTCTGTCGGATCCAGCAGTCCTCGAGGGGTGACCTCGTGGGGTGGCTCTGTTGTCCCCATTTTACAGATAAGGAGACTGAGGCTGGGAGAGGCAGTGTAACTTGCCTGGGGTCACAGCCAGAAGCAGCCCAGCCTGGGTTCGAGCCCCAGGAGTGTGGCGGCTCTGACCTCCTGCCCCAGCTGGGCCCCTCGCCTGTGTCCACGGGAGGAGGGAAGGAGCCACACACAGGAGGAGGTGCCGGGGGAGCCAGGTGCCCGTCGGGGGAGCGGGCAGAGGCTGGGACAGTATATATCGTTGAGCACGGTGGTGGGGGGCTGGGCAGGAGCAGAGCTGGCCGAGGAAGGGCTCTTGTCAGAAACTTGCGTTTTCTGGAAATCAGGCTGCTGGCAGGGACCTCGCGCCCTCCCGGTCCTTGGCCTCCCGCGCTGGGCTGGGAGCTGCTGCGGAGAAGCAGGGTGGGGCGTGGGGGGGTCGGCCTCCTGGCGCCCGCATGGCCTGCCACAGCACAGGGGCTCGCGTGGGGGCCTTTGTTTCTGAGGTACCGGCTGTGGGAGCGGATGGCGGTCCTCGAGCTCTGTCCCAGCGTCACCCACACCGCCCACGCTCCTGGAGGGTTCTCTTCTCCCCGCGGAGAAGGTGGTGGCCAGCCGGGCCTGGTCCTCTGGGACCCACGTCTGGGGCGTGGCCCCTGGGGGCAGCAGGTGGGCAGGGGACGTCTCTGGTGTCCTTCCGCTGTCTGTTCACTGTGTGCGCCCCTCGTCTTCCCTCCCCGCCGGCCCACAGGGATGGGGTGGAGACCGGTTCCAATTAGACTTGTCACCTGGATGCGGAATCCGGCAGAGGTGAGGTGGGCTCTGGGGGTCCCCTCCCTCGCCCCTGCCCCGTGGGCAGCGCACGTTCTGCCTCTCCTGTGTCCCCAGGCGTCTCCCACTGTCCCCCTCTCCAGGCGATCTCGAGCCCTCCTCCCAAGCGTCCGTCTGGGGTTGGGAAGTTAATTTGCTCCTGCCTGTGCACGACCCTGTCGCCCCCTTGCCCCTAGATGCTGTGACGTGGGGCGGGCGGCCTCCCAAGAGGACGGGGGTGTTAATGGAAACTTCATTATGGTGGGCTCGTCCTCCCTCCCAGGATGGAGCTGGGCCTTTAGTGATTGGGCCACGGGGTGGAAGGAGGCAGCCTCTTGGGGGACTGGGGGTGTGGGGAGGTGGCCGAGTCGCACCCAAACATTGTGTGATGTCACCCCTGACGGCTCAGACCTGCGGCTGCTGCTCTGTCTTCAGGCTGGTGAACTTGGCCCCAGGAGGGAGCGGAGGTTCCTAGGCCGCATGGCGGTTTGGTTTGCAGCCTCCTGTATCAGCCTCCCCAGGCGGAGTCTGTGCCCGGCGGGGACCACGGGGGGTCTGGAGGGAGCTGAGTCCTCTCCCTTCTCCCTGTCAGCCTGCCCATAGGGCCCGTTCTCGGGGACCCGCCAGGGGTCCCTGCTGACAGCCCGTGTGGCCATGGCCGCGTATGAGCCTCAGTTTCCCTCTCTGTAATGTGGGGCGGTGTGGTGCCAGCCTCACCAAGAGCGCTGCCCCAGGTGCCTGGCAGTTAGGTACTTGCTGCGGGCTTGTCTGTTAGCGTCTTTCCTCCGGCTGTGCCCCGTCCCGCCGGCACTTTTCTCTGTGTTCCGAGAACTCGGGCTCTATCCCCTCACCCTGTGCCTTGGTCCCCCTCCTCCGTGCCCTCTGATGGTCTGGGACCCGGCAGGTGACGCTTTGAGATTCTCAGCGGCCGCCCCGGACGGGTGGTGGGACCGCTGGCCTCTGGGGACGCAGGTCTGCTCTCTCTGCAGTGCTCCCTCTGTCCTGCTCTTGCCTGTCCTCCGGGAGCCCCCAGGCCCGCCCGCTCCCTGCATGCTGCCTGCCGGCGCCGCCTGCCCTGGGCCCGTGGACCCCGCTCTGGTGCTGGGCGCTGCTGCTCTCCGGGTGACCTGGTTCTTCTTTTCCTGTTTCAGGCATGAGCCATGAGCCCAAGTCCCCTTCACTAGGGATGCTTTCCACCGCGACCAGGACCACCGCCACCGTCAACCCCCTCACCCCCTCGCCGCTCAATGGCGCCCTGGTGCCCAGCGGCAGCCCCGCCACCAGCAGCGCGCTGTCGGCCCAGGCCGCGCCGTCCTCCAGCTTTGCCGCCGCGCTGCGCAAGCTCGCCAAACAGGCGGAGGAGCCCAGAGGTAAGAGGCGCCGCCGGGCTGCGCGTGGGGGGCGCCCACCCTTCCTGCCCAGCCCTCCTGTGCAGAGCAGGTGCCGCGGTGCTGGGACCAGCTGTCGCGAGAGCCTGGAGGCGGTGCTCAGAGGCCGTGCTCAGAGGCCAGACAGAGCCTCCCCGTGGCCCCAGCTTGCTTGGCAGCAGCGGGCTGTCTCCTCGCACCGCTGCGCTCTGGCTCTGGCCCGCCCCGCACCTGCGCTTTGCTCCTGCGCTTCCCTCTCTGCCCTGCTGCCTCTGTCCCTCCTGGGCTCCAAGAGCCACCACAGGGGTGTCCTGCCAGCCACTGGAGTCCCAAGAGGCTTCGGAGGGAGTGTTGGGGCCCCAGTACCTCTCCCTGGGTCCGCCATCCTACATCCCGTGCCTGCTCCAGGCTTCGACACCTGCTCCGAAGGTGGCAGAGAACATGGTGTCTCCAGAAACACACTGGTCCTGTAGCAGGGCCTCTGGGACGGCGGCCTCCGCCGCTTTTAACTCCCTGAGGCAGAGGTTGTGGGGCAGCATGGACAAGTGGCCCCCTGGCTTTTGGTGGCAGTTGGGTGGTGACATGCTGTGTGACTTGGGGCGAGTGCCGACCCTCTCTGAGCCTCAGTCTTCCTCTTTGGGCAATGAGGCTCTGTCAGCCCCTTTCAGGCCCAGCTTTGGGGCACTTCTTAGGGCCACGGTGACCTGTCGGCTCCTGTGTTGGTGCCTGTTGGACAGGTGGGGGCAGTTTACGGCTGGAAGGCTTGGCCCCGTGGGGTCTGCCTGGCCTCTCGGACTCCTGGGCTCACTGCTCAGAGACAGGGGCCAAGGAAGGGGGCCCCCGGCGCCGCTGCCTGACGGTCTGCCTCGCTCCAAGGGTCCAAGGCTTAGGATCCCGGCTTCCAGGGCTGCCCGGGGCTCCCACAGAGCACGCGTGCGGGAACCGCGTCGTTTCTGCGTCCTGGGGTCCGGCTCAGTGGACGGGACATTCGCCCTGACTGGGGCAGGCTGGCGCTTTCCTCATGTCGGAGTCACCTCTTCCCAGGTCCTCTCTGGTACTGGTCGCTGGGGGTTGGGGGTGAAGGGAACGAGCCTGGTGTTGACAGTTGGGGGACACTGGCCCAAGAGGGGGACAGTTGCAGCCTGGTTTCTCTACCACCAGGGAGCACCCCCTTGCCTCCTGGCTCCACGCCGTGCAGCGCGGAGGCGGGGCTGCCGGCAAACCCTGGACGGCTGGGTTGCTCGGGCCCCACCTGCGTCAGGCCGGGCAGCCGTGGGCAGATGCCTCGGAGGAGGAGGAGGAGGAGGCAGCAGGCTTCCTTTTGGGGCCACGGAGGCCCCCAGGCCCTGGACGGCTCACAAGGTGGCTGGCAAGCGCTGCTGCCGAGAGACCCTGGGGGACCACGCGGCAGGAGGCGAGCTGGGGCCGGGACTCGGCCTTCTTAGGAGGCTTCGAGAAGGGGCGGCAGCTCCTGCACTGGCCGTCTCATTTCCCCACCTTCCAGAAGGCAAGAGAATCGGGGCTGGCACAGGCTTTCAGAGACCGGTCGGCACTCAGGACGCGGCTTGTGCCGAGGCGGGGGCACCCCCAGGCGTCCAGGAGCTGTGTTCCCTTTGGGCTCCAGCCCCAGGGTGACTCTGCAGAGGATGTGGTCGTGGAAGGGCCGGTTTCCCCCTCGCCCAGGAAGGCAGTGGAGAGGCCTGCAGCCAGGGGCCGCGGGCGTCGCGGCAGGAGCCCGCCTCGAGGGGCGTTCGGTTCCTCCCTGTGGCCCCAGGCCGGGACGGTGGGCCAGCGGGCAGCTCGAGGCCAGCGCTGCCGGTCCTCCCCGGCTGGGAACGCAGTGTCCTGTGGAGCAGGAGGGCACAGTTAGGAGGCCACGCTCAGCGGCTCCGGGCCCTGTTCGTGGGACACGCCTAGTGACACCCTGGGAAGGGGCCAGGGACTCGGCGGGGGAGAGGGAGGAGAGCGGCGCACGTCACTCGCGTGCTCCCGAGTCGTCCCCTGACTGAGATGGGAGAGCCGAGGTCTGGGGGCTTGGTGTCCGCAGACGGGGGCAGGACCTGGATCCTGGGACACCTGATGCAGACACTGTGGCCTGGGCCCCTGTCTCACACCTGGATGAGCTTTGGATGAGCCCAAGCTCGCTGACGCCAGTGCGTGAGTCCCCACGTGGTCGGCCCTATCGGGCGTTGGTTTGACCTGGTGAGGAAGGACTCGGCTGCGCCTCCAGTCTCCACTGGGCCGAGCCACTATTCCCCTCGAGTTGCCTCAGGTCTGAGCTTCTGTCTTCCCCGTCCTTGCAATTGGCCACCAGCCCTGAGTTGGCCCATTGTGCAGATGGGGAAGCCGAGGCTCACAGAGGTCAACGCTGCTGGCGGGGTGTATCTGTGTGCCTGTGTCCCTTGCTGCCGCTGCTTGAATTAGGAGGACGGTTCTGAGCAGGTGGTCCCGGCTGGAGAGGAAACCACCCCACTCCTGCCCCCGTCCCAGTGCCCACCGCCGAGGTGCAGGGAGCTGGGCTTGGGCGCGTGAGCTGCGGTCAGCAGTGCTCACTCCGCCTCCCTGTGTGCGTGGGCCACCTCTCCACCCCAGCTGGGGCCAGCAGGGGACCTTTGCTGGGTTTAGTGACACTGGGGTTGGGATTTTTTGATTTTCTAATTTTTTCAGATATAATTCACACATGATAAAATTCACCTTGTATAGATGCAAAGATTTAGTGATTTTAGTGTGTTCAGAGTTGTGGAACCTTTCGCACTCTCTAATTCTAGAACATTTTGATCACCCCTGGGAGAAACCCCGTCCCGTTAGCCGGCAGCCCCTGGTGGCCACTGTCTGCTTTGAGCCTCTGCCCGTTCTAGATGTTTCTGACACGCAGACTGGCAGGGGCAGTGTGTCTGCCTTCCCAGAGGCACACCCTCCCCTCTGCCTGCCGGGGCACAACACTGAGCCTCGAGCTCGCCCAAGTCCCCGAGTGCCACGTGGTAAGTAGCGTGAGGGCGTCATATCTCAGCACGGCCTCCTGCCCCGCCTGCGCCCAGGCCCCCGAGAAAGCCGTGCCTCCCCTGAGGGCCAACCCGTCCTGCCTGGTGCCCCTGTGCCCAGGCCCCTCCTGGACCCCGGCGGCACCGACATCCGAGCTGGCGAACCCTCGAGCGCACAGCCACGGCCGACTCCCTGCAGCTGTGTCCCGGGCGGGGAGGGCGCGTAGGGCAGGGGTGGGCAGGGGCGGGCAGTGCGGAGGCCCCTCCCGGAAGGTGCAGTTGCAGCCCCGGCCACTCACCAGGGCCTGTCACCGCGTCCCCTCGTCAGCAGCCTGCGCCAGTGCGTCTCCTTGCCCACCTGGACCTGCGCTCGTCCCGCCCCGGAGGTGTCTTATTTTTAGCTGTCTGACCGCGTCTGCGACTGATGTCTCTCCTCTCGTCGTGTCTCGAGGGTGCAGCTTAAGAATTCAGTTCCGACGAAGCGATCTGCGTGCCGCGTCGCCTGCTCTGCCCCGAGAGGGAGGACGAGGAGAGAGGAGCATCGGCCCCTCCGTGGTTCCCGAGACGGGCCTCGTGGAATTTTATCTTTCCCGAGGCTCTGAGATATGTCCTCTTTCTGGAAGCTTAGTCACCCCAGAGAGCAGGGCGGGACGTCCGCTGCGGGGGCCGGGGGAGGCGCCTGGAGCCGGCGTGACCCTTTAACCCCCTCCCAGGGCCGGGGCTCAGTAGGCCCGGGTGGGTGTCCGGGTTCAAGTCCCAACACCTGCTCTCCTTGCTGTGCAACCTGGGGGCTGGTCCCCCCCAAGCTTCTCCTTCTCGGGGTGGGGAGAACGTCTCTACCTCGCGCGCTGTGCCGACTTGGGGAGAACGCGCTGGCGCCAGGCTCAGGTGGTCGCCAGCGCCACTGTCCCCCTCCCCCGTCACCAAGGCTGCCTCCCCCACCACAGTCCTCCCACAGCCCCGCCCCTCCCCCTGCACTCCCCGTCCACCTTGACCCTCCTTAACCGGGACCACCATCTCCCCCCCCCCCCCGTCACCCTCCCGCCAATGGCATGGAGGGGTGTGTGCCTTCCTGGGTGGGGTGCTCCTGGGCCCCCGCCTTCCGTCAAGGCTGAGGTGCGCACACCAGCAGCTCTCGGCTGGGGGTCTGCAGCGGCTCCAGCTGGTCCGACCCTGGGGTGTGAGGCTCCGCCCCCTGGGTTGCCGGTCACCCTGGGGTCTCCCCGCGTGCTCCGCATGCGGGCTGTACTTGGGAGAGGGGGGCCGTCTCTGGGGGGTCTCCCTGCTCCGTGGCTGCTGGGCCATCCCCAGCCTTGGTCCAGGCCGTTCGGGTGGCCCCCAGTCCTCGGGCATGGAGACACCCCAGCCCCCTCAGCACCCCCAACAGCCTGGCCTCCCCACCAGAACCTTCTCCGGGCGGAGACCCTGCCTGCCCGGGTAGGCGTCTGAAGCCCCTGCCTAGGAGTCCTGAGACCGGGGTGGGTCCCACCTCTCTGTCCTGGGGCAGGTTGCGGCCCCTCGGAGCTTCTTGGACTCCCAGGCACCAGCCAGGCCTGCCCTGCTGTGCCGTTGTGCCCACGTCATCCGCGTACTTGGAGGTGCCTGTTGAACGACTAGGAGGCATTTGGTGCCCGGGAGCTTCTGCACCCGAAGCCAGGCCTTGCACTTCCAGCCGCCCTGGGCACCGGCCCGGCCGGGGGCCTCCGGAGTCCTGACCCTTCCCTTCTTGCCCTGCAGAGGGCAGGTCGCGGGGCCCCCGCTGCCGCCCCCACCTGCCACCCCGCCGAGCGTGGCTGTCGCAAGCTGCGCAGCAATCTGCTCGCCGCACTGCAGTAGGCACCAGCCTCCCACGGGGACACAGCACCCGTCTGCCGAGGTGGCAGGGAGCCCGCGTGTCCTTAGTCACTGGGGGAGGCACAAGCGGCTCCTGGGCCTGGGCTCCCCCTAGCCTTGGGAAACACGTCAGGGTGAGCACGGCCAGCCGGCCTTTGTGTCTAGAGCTCAGTCACTCCGGGAACACCG